TAAAGGTGAAGGAAGAGACAACGAAGTTTGGCTTGGTACTAGTTTTAACTATGAATATGAAAGAAAACATTTCGGTGGAGGTCCCCAGTGGTTCCAGTGGCCTGTTAGTTTGCACCATCAACATGCAAACACCATAAGAGTACGGAGTATAATGCAGACGCATTGCTCAATAAGTGTTATGAGTAACATTTTTACTATATTTTTCCTTTATCTTAGTTCTCCACCCCCAAATTCCTTCTGTTCACCTGCCTCAGCCTTCCACTACCCCGAACAGAGAGGTAGAGCAGTGCCAATGTGTGTTCTTTGATGCCCTCTACGGGACAGATTTCTGCAACAGAAAGTTGCTAGAAAGAAACCACAGCCTTCTCCCTTCCTGAAGAAAGTGCATAAGGCAATCTTACCAAACACACTTGGAAGTGAGGCTTCTGAATTGCTGATAACTTTAATTTATTCACAGGGTACATGTCATGGGTCTCTGCAGCCACCACTTTTGCAGAGGTTGCTTTTCTATAAGATCTTTGAACTCTTTTCAAGAAAGCAGCAACAGGTTTCCTGTAAAGGCTTCAGGTTTTTTCAAATATCTACAAAAGCCTAAGTCAGTAAGCGTTCAGTCTCATCTTTTGCTTAAGGTCAAAACACATATATAACAACTGGTTGATCAGATACTTATCTGATGGCAAAAGTTTAAATTCAACCTGACATTGCAAAGGATGCAATAAAAATCCCCACTTCAGAAGGCCAGCAAAAGGACACCAGATGTAGAACAGGATTTTTAGGTATTGAGATAGATTGCGACAGAGGGACAGTACTTTTTAAGGGTTTTTTTCTATCATGATTCATCTGTATTAGAGAGGAGACATGATAATAATATTCAAAAATATAAAAGGTATCCACAAATAGAAAAGAAGAAATTACTTAGAGCTAGAACACAAAATAAAGGACTTACAATGACGGTAAGAAATGTTAAGCTTATACAAAGAAGAAGCTGTCTAACAGATAAGAAAGCATTGTAACTGACTACCTAGGAGGCTGCGGAAATTTCAACGTCAGGCATTTTTAAGAACAAAAATCAGGACTGATTTACATACAAAGAATTCTGTGGAAGACGAGACCATTCTAGGAAATGGAAGAGACTAAACAAGAACCAAAGATTCCAGTTAAATGAAAAGGGAAAAATATGCCCAGGAAGAAAAAAAAGGAAGTCAGAAGAAAGCCTGGCAAAAAAAAAGAAAAAAAAAAATGCAGGGACAACTGGTTCCGAGACCAGTTTCAGCTTTATTGTCTATCATTTCCACAATTAATTTTCAAATTCCACAAACAAATCAGAGGGCAGTGGAACCACAAACACTAAATTAATTTTCAAATTTCACAAAGAAATCAGAGGGCAGTGGAACCACAAACACTTGGACAAGATCTTAATTTAGTTCACCTTGCACATTTTTTACCAAAAGCTCTTCTGTGGAAACCGTGGTAGAATCCATTCGGTGTATCTCTCAACTCCACATTTTATAAGTAGTTCTGTCTGACTTTATGAGGATCATCTCTCAACTTCACATTTCATAAGTAGTTCTGTCTGACTTTATGAGGATAGGAAATAAAAGTGAGGAAAAATGAATCTAAAACCATAACTTTCTATACAGTAACATTACTTACTTGTTTCACATTTTCTGCCAAGAACACAACATAAACACTACAAAATCCCAGCTGTGTTATTACTAGGAAAAAGTCTACAATATACCTGAGGAAGAAAAAACAAACATACATTATTCTTAGGATCCAAACAGTTAACCCATTTCTACCTAGTAGGCAATTACTACTCCTTTTTACAGTAGTTAAAATGCTAGATTCAAATGCCACATTAATCCCAGGAGGACTGCAATGCAGGTTCCTCTTATAGCAAAACAGGGTGGTTTTCTAGGTGTTTGGTTTTGATGCCTACCCAATGTTACCTTAAAAAAAAAAGGAATGTACTCACATTTTAAAGTGGCATAAAATTAAATTCAAAGACTCAACAATGTAGTATGAATGTAAAGAACAGACATATATATTCAACGCACATATTAATTCTGCTGAGGTCCGTTAGCCCCTAACACAGCAGTCTTCCACCAGGACCACAGATTCAATGTCTCATACAGCCTAAATTACATAAATTTCAGCAATTCAAGATAAGAAACATTTTCTCATCTTACTCAGTGGGTCTACATTAATGTATCCAAATACAAATTCAGACACTGTATCCCATTGAAAAAAAACACTCTAAACTATCCTTCAGATTGTTTTTAAAAAATGTTATCCACAATGGTGGCCCGACGACACGCTACAATGAAACTCTTTGCTAGAGTCAGGCATGCAGCAGACATCTGCCTCAGAGAATGAATTTGGTGCACCACAGTGTCCCTGGAAATCAAATTGCCATTTGTGGCTTGTAACTCTTTGGTGCATTACAGAATTGTCAGCATATTTCACTACAAACCAATTTTCCCTCTAATTGAGCTCTACCCCATTCCTATGAAGTCATCACAAAAGATCTTAAAAGACTAGCTCACCTTTTTCTTATTCAAAATAAAGTAACAGCCAAAACACATGATGCAAGATGCTGCATCCCCAAAAATAACAGGACTAAAAAAATTCTTCCTCAAGTGAGAAAAAAAAAATTTAAATTAACATTGAGCAACATATCTGAGTTTTGGAATTCTGGTAGCCATACCATGAACTCCAAAAACAGCTATACAGCAACAAATGGCAAAGAAAAAATAATAGTCTTTTTCAAAAGAGGGATAAAGTATTTAAAAGAGACAAGCTATCAACATCTGCATGTCATTATTGCAAAATATAGCAAATATTTCTCCATTATTTGTGTGTTATATTTAAACAGGAATCAAATAATTGTTTTGCTTCCTTTCAGAACAGATACACCGAAGTAATTCAGATTTGCAGTGCCAACCTGATAAAGAGCGAACTCTGATGGAGGGAAATGTGCTTACAGTAAAAGAGAATGAAAACTTATATTACTTCACTATGTATTTCTGGTTATACCACATCTTTTCCTATATTAATAAATAGAATTATTTTCTTCACAGGTCTTGTAGACCTGAAAATTGAAATGCCTAACTGAGAGAGACACTCCCCAGTCCTCCCAGGTGACCACTAGCTGGCTGCAGAAAACAACAAATAACACCGCATAAAAAGATTTCAAGCACGGAAAGCAAATGCTTTATTTCCTAAAGCAAATAGCACTTTAGTAAAAAGGAAATCTCCTAACCATTCCAAGTGCAGTCATTAATTTTTAACAATGAATTTATTAAATTAAATTTTAACGCAAACTTACCGTCCCCAAGAAGCTCGTTTCTGAAGAGCAGTCAGGGGCCCCACTTCCATGGCGTAACTAACTGTATCACTGTACCCTAGTGAGGATTTTTTCATCCTGAAATCAAAGAGTGAAGAAAGAACAGAGTTACTAGAAACTATGAGGGCCTAGATCCCTACCTTGAAAATGCTGTGGCCTCCCAGGTTTATAATAAGTAATCACCTGTGGCAAAAATGAATTTCAGAGGTATGGTTTGGGCTTCCTTCCCCCAGGAAGGGCTATTCAGCACTCTACGAGCACATGAACCACAATGCTGCTTCCCCCTAATTCAACAGTACTAATCAGTTCTCTACAGAACAACTTTCTTGATAATTATAAGATCAGCTTAAAAAATTCATCTTAAACCTAAAAGTCACAAAGAGCTTCAACAGGATTCAACCGACTTTCCTGGACAAGCAGTCAACTGCAATTGTTTCAGTGATCTTAGTTCTATGTACGTACATCTTCAAAGGCCATTCAAAACTCCAGAGGAAAAAGCTAAGAATTCAGGAATGAAGGGATCCCCTCACAGTACAATATCACACTGAACTGATAAGACAGTTCTTCCAGCTACAGGGACATGAACAGTTTTGTGTTTCTATTCAGTTCAAGAACTTAATTGCACTTTTAAAATACGAGACCCTCCCACTGCTTCTCTTTAACATCTGACAGTAAGATAAAAATATTTAATAAAAGTTACTATTAATCAAAAATATTTTATCAGTCAAATTGAATAACTGCTTCCCCCCCCCAGTATGGCACATCTCACTTGGAGGAGTATCTAGTGTTTATCTGCTCACTAGCATAATTTTAACACATTCCTTCAGCGCTACAATTTTGAAGAATCAAGTTGTCAAAATCCAAAGAGATAAGAAAGACCCGACTCTTTGCCAGCAAAGACAATGGACAGGATACTGGGCAACACAAGACAAAACAACTTCATTTTGTGTATTAGCAAAGAACAAATATTTTTTCAACGTATTAAAGCAGTGTTGCACAAGCCATAGCTATCATTTATAGTTGCATATTAAGAATTTCAGTGGTCTTTCTTTCAAGTACAAGATTCTGAAGTGAAGAAACTGCTACAACATCAGGACACTCTCTAGGCCAAAAATCAGAAACAGAAAAGAAAGAAGAAAAAAAAAAAAAACTCAAACTCAGCAACAGAATGAGCAGTTCCACATTTACCTCTGACATAGACAGTGGCTGCAACGTACCAAGATGTGCATACAATGAACAGATATAACTCCTATGAACACAAGGCTGATCGGTCCAACCTGGCATGGAGAAAAAAAAAGGAAGGACATGGGAGATAAACAGAATTTTCCATGAAAATATGTCAGGGGAAAATCTTAACATGCAAAAATTTCACATTGTAGCAAATAAATTAAGAACTGAAAATTTTATGCAACTGGATTTTTTTCCCCCTCTCAGAGAGGGATGTGCTGCTGATGTTTTATGACATTTCTTACTTTTAGTTCACTACTTGACAGAAGGCTACTCACGGCCAATCAAGCCATAAAGACCAAGTGGGCATGAAAAACTTCCCTCTTTTAACAGCTTCATTAAGATATTTGCCAAAAAAAGTTTGCCAAGAGAGAAGACTGCATATACTGCAAAATTCGAAACAGTGGTTTGAACCACTTTAAAGTGGCAAGTACAATAAAAGTTTCTTTCCCTTATATCAGTAGACTTGACAATGTGCAGTATAAAGAAAAAGGAAAAAAAAGAAGAACACAATCACAACCCTGATAACTTCGACTATTACAAGTTACAGATAATTTTCAAATTGAATATCTGTTTCAGAGTAGAAGTTTGACCAAAAGTCTCCACATAAGGTACTTGTTTTTCACATGTAACTTCCATTCTTAAACTGAACGTCCTGTAATAAAGAATTACAGGATTATTTAGTTGTAAGGTGAAGTCCTCACTTGATTAAACTTATCATGCCTCAGGAAATGAATTCTTTCTTATCCAGTATAAACAAGCTGTGCTATACCCTGTTTTGCAGAAACACAAGATTGATTTAACAAGCTGATGCTGCATTCTAGGATGTACAATCTCACTCTAGAGAAAGTCTGGACAAAGATAAGACATTCCCATAATAACAACTCCCATGAGACATCACAGGAGTGTGAGTGAATCAAAATCCTTCTGTTTTCTGACAAAGTTTTTGTTTTCACCAGAAAAACACTTGCTAAGCAAAAATACAACACATGCTATAAAGTTTTCAGGGTGAAGTAGTAACTTTAAAAAAAAAAAAAGAAACACCTCAATCTTCTGTACTAATTTCACCAGACTGAGGAGGAAAGACAGAACACAACTCTATTGAAGTTGGTAGTGACAAACAAAAAGTATCAAAATGTTACTTTTTCAGGCTCAGACACATATCTGTAGATCTTTCTAGATCATTTTTCTAATCTGTGAAAAATAATTGAACCCTTACCACAATGCCAGCATTTTTTATTGCAAGTGGAAGACTAAGAAGCCCAGTTCCAATGTTTCCCTTGAGGAGGTGTGTAAGTGTTTGAATAAAGCTGACAACAAAAATAGAAAGAGTCATATTAGAAGTACACTCAGATGCAGGGTAAGGAGAGAAAACAAAACCACAGCCTGTGTCATTTATTAATAAATGGATAAATTATGACATTCAACTACTTTAAAGTGGTCCAGCACATTCAAACAATGTTTTTGAATATCTTTACATAGGAGCTCCCTCAAGTAGACCATGGAAGTCTGATCTTCAGTTCCTTCCACCAGCTTCTGAAAGGTTATTTTCTATTTAATTTTATTGTCCTTTTGTCTCAGAATCAAAATTACCAAGTTTCATCAATGTTATTTTAGAATCAGTAACATTCAAAACAATTACAAGCTGCAAATCACAATTCTGACGGCCAAAGCTTTATCAAAAGAAAAAAAAAAACCCTTTATAAGTTCTTCTAAACAAACTTTAACCAACAGTTTATCTCCAAAGTCTTCTGAAGTGTCTTTATAAAAAATTAAAATCAATCAAAATTTTCTTTAAACAGTGCTTGGATTCTGAGCGACCCAATCACTTTACAAATGGGCACCATGGAATATTTTACGGCCAGTAAGTTGTTAGCTTCCAAAGAACAGAGAACCTACTCAAAACAGGCTGCTTTTGGCAGAACTGCAAAGTCCTACAGTATAACAACGAAACTGCACTGCGAGTGTAAGGAAACCCCTTAAGAGTTCAGTAAATTACTCATGAGAAACAAGTTGGGGGTAACAGTTTTTAACAAGCTGATACTTAAGAATGATACACACGTAATGCCTTCTTCATTATCGAGCTGGTAATGCTTCTCAACTGCCAGGAAATTATTTTCGTGCTCCTCATCTGAGATGCCATCTGAATTTTGTTCATCAATTAAAGGCTTCATTACTTCCATGTCTATACAATAGAGTTAACACAAAATGAACATTAGAAACAAATTTATAGTTTAGCCATGCCGTAGCTAAATAATCTGCCGTGCCAAGAGGTTTATGGGTGTTAGTAACTATAAAGCTGATTTAAGCAAACAGCTACATACACCACAAGTTTGCACAGGAAATTCTCTTTTTATAGGGGCACACAATCTCATTATTGTCGTCACCATCATCATTATTATTATGGCCAAACATTACAGGTTTTCATTATGAAAAACAACTTTGTATCATCAAAATGTTAATGGTTTAGGTCATTGTGCAAGCTAACAGAACACACAGCAAAACACAAGAGTCATCCATTGTTACAAAAGGATGAGATTCATCTTACCGACCACCAGCTGTTGCAAAACTAAGCATTTAGTCTACTCTCCACCTCTTTTCAGTGGTGAGAGAGGGCACACTCCAGACTCACCCCATGCTACAATGGACAGATAAGATAGGTACCCCAGAAGATGTCTCCAGTCACTGGCAGGAGAACCAGGATAATGGCATTAGGCTGCATGCTTTGAAAACTGCAATTTCAGGAATCCTTCAAAGAAGCATAAACTGCCACTGCAGTCAATAAACACAGTTCCACCATCCAGCTAAATAACAGCACCAAGCAACCACAAGAAGCCGGTAGTGAACAAAACTGCCCTTCAGGCAAAACTAACAGCTTACACCAGTTTAATGCTGATTAATTTATAACTATTTTTAAATGACTACAGTTAAGGAAAACAAATCCTGCCAAGAGCAAAAAGATAATTTACCTTACACTTGCCTACCACAGTATCCATTCATAAAATGTGTTGAATAAGTCTCAACTTCCATAATTTTCACCAGAAAAAAAAAAAAAAACTGGGATTTTAACATTTTCTATAAAAAAAAGTACTGAGTGCAAGAGCACACCTTACTGAATTATCACATTATTTACAGAACGCTGAAAACACTGAAGAATACCCACAAAAGACATTAGCTACTATAACATGCTTCACTAGTCAGCAAGCAAAAATATTTCAAAGTTTGAGTGAATATTAAATACCTTTAACATACTAAACTTATTTATTTTTTAATAAAAAAACAAATGCTAACTGTTAACACTGGTGAGATTGTAGAATCATTTTTAAAAAGGTATGGACAAATAGTGGCACCTGAACCTGCCAAGTATGAGCTTTATTTTGGTGAGTTATTACAGTCAATGTGATAAGAATTATCACTTAATTAGACACCAAGACACATGCACAAAACCAGACAGGAAATACAGAACATACTAAAAGTTAGCCATTCAACAAATCATTAAGACTTTAATGAAACCTTAAAGATGTTTAACCCATCAGCAGGGCACTGGAGTTGATCCTAAGCAAGAGGAACTTAGAAAAAAAATGGTAGAACAAGTGAAATATACCTTATAAAGCAGAAGGCAGCTTATCCAGGTGGTTAAAATTAAAAGCACACAGCTCAAACTCTCCTGAAGACAGCAAAGGGTCATCTGAATTTGGTGTAAATAAAGTTGAAAGCCAGCAATCCTGAGTGCTTCTCAGAATAAGCAGACCAAAGTCTACCCTCTGCCTGGCTCCTCTCTTCGAACCTAATGCTGTGCAGGGCAGATTCAACAATGTCTTCCTTGAACAGGGGGTTGCTCCAGCTGCAGCTCCATACGCTCAAAGGCACCTATTCCCAGCACATGTACAATACACACACACACATAAACGAGGGGGTTGAATAGATACAAATTTTTAGGAAGCTGTTGAATCTAATAGCCCAATGGAGGCAAGGCTGCTGCAGCTCCATACGCTCAAAGGCACCTATTCCCAGCACATGTACAATACACACACACACATAAACGTGGCTGGCTACACAAACGCTCAGCGCTCACAAAAGCACAACCAGCACCAACAGCCTCATCCTATTCCCCTCTCCAGCTGGTCAGGACTGAGGTGGGTTAGTGGGAAATATAGATGTATGTTCCATGCAGATCCCTCCAGAACTGGGCTTCAACAGTCCATCCAGCAGCTGCTCCTTGATCCCAGTCTGCCCAGTTGTGGGCACCCCGGCAAGCATACTGACCAGCCCCTGCCTACACACAACCAGATCCTTTTAACTCCCTAGCCCTCTTTTCCCATGCTTGCTCGTTCCCAGACCACCTTGATTCATGCTTTTCTCCACCAATTCTTGTGCAATCCTGATATGCTCTTCCCTTACATCCCATAATGTGTCCCTTACTCCTTAGGCAGTAACTTCCCTCCATCCAAAAGGCAATTCACAGAGCTGCCCCCATTGACTCATCTGGACAGGCTTCACACTTGGACCATGGAGCTGATAGCTCTCCTGTGACAGCCTTGGTAAGAGCCTGTCCAGGATGTTTGTTTTTCCTAGTTGAAGATGTGGGTTCACCACTGCTGTTCCTAGACTGTTGCTAGGTACTCCTCTTAAACCCAGCTGCCATTAAGGCTTATTTTCTCAAGAAGGATGATTCCACTTTCACTCTTCTCCTTGTTTTCTTGAAGAGACACTTCTAGTTAATACAAAGCTTGAATGACTTGTGATAAACTAATTAAAGGTATTTTTGCATTTTGGAATCCCGATCCTTTACAGCCCTTTAGAGAAATGCTAAAGGCATTCTCTGGCAACCAAAAATTATTTAAAGCTTTTGTGCCTGCCATGCTATGATAAAGGGATCAGCTAGGAGTAAGACAGAAGAGCACAAAACCACATTTTAGTCTTGGTGTTAAAGAGACAACACAAGGATATTGCATATCTCCATGCAGCTAAGAAGATTTCAGTTTGCGTGAAATACAACTGCATTTTTTAACCTTTGGCCACACACTGTATTTTATGCCCATTAAATAAAATGCTTATTGCATTCAGGTATTTTCAAACGTCTTTCATACTCGTAAGCAGCTCTACCTTCCACCTTCCAGCATGACTCTTAGGACCAACAGGACTGGTGAGTACCTGCAACTGCTCAGACAAGGAAGAAAAGTTAATTCCTCTTCTTCCGTTTCAGCATGATAACAAAACTTTCAATATATACATGCATACACACTGTTTACCATGCACTATTAAAATCTTTAACAAAAAGAAATTTTAAAAATATTTTGAGAACTTCCAAGTTCAAGCCTCTTGAACTAGAAGCTCATTTGTTCCACACAGCAGTTGACTGACTACGTCAAAAAGCAAAGCATTTTTGGATATAAGAATTAATGGAACGGAAGGAAGATACATGCATGTCAGACAAAATATACTGTCCTGATTTATTTAAATTTGTTGTATTTGTCATGGAAGACTAAGAAGAACAGGATGACAGATAACCCATGAAACAGAAGAGATGCTGTCTTTCCAGACTTAATCATCATTCAAAGAGAAGCCAGCCTCTTCACTTATCAGACTAAATGCCTGACCAATGCCCCTTTTGTTCATCTTCACCTCGGCTGAATTACCTGATCTCCACTCAGGAGCGAAGTGATGGAAGTAATGAAAATGTAAGCATTCTCAAAGAGGCAGGAAGAAAGCTCACATGGACAGATTTACACCAGCGATTCATTTCAAAACGCCAGCCTCTCCCCGAGGTGATGATCCTGTTCCTGCCTCTCCATCCTTCACACCACACATACCATCCTCATAGATTTAAATTGCTAAGTATCCGTTCATGGACCACCACTTCCAATACATTCTTATCGGGATAAAATCATTTGCTATTTGAAATATCAGTAACCGCTGTGCTTTTCAGAGATGCCTCCTGGACAAACAGAAGGATACTTAGGGAGTAGACGACTTCTCTGCCTGTAATTGACAGTGGTAAACTGGAGTTTTAAGATGTCTGAGCATGATGTAATTTTTAAGTATCTTTCACATACTGTCACCATACAATTTACTGCTCGAGACTGCAACCAATCATGTGACCTACTATAACAACCCAAAAGAAAGATAACCAGCTTCTCCACCAAAATATGTTATATGCAAAGCTTTTTAGTCCATAACACTAGTCAATATAAAACTTTAATGGTTTATTACCCTTAAAGATCATCTTGTTCCACCTCCCTTGTGATGGGGAAGGACATCTTCCACTAGATCATCTTGCTCAAACCCCATCCAACCTGACCTTCAACACTCCCAACGATGGGGCATCCACAACTTTACTAGGCACCCTGTTCCAGTGTCTCACCACCCTCAGTGAAAAAAAACTTCCTTAATGTCCAATCTAAATTTACCTTCTTTCAGTTTAAAACCCCTGCCCCTTCTCCCATCACTACAGACCCCAATAAAAAGCCTCTCTCCATCTTTCTTACAAGCCCCCATTAAGTATTCAAAGGCCACAATAAGGTCCCCCCGGAGCCT